ATGTAGAAAGTTTAATAACAATTCTTGATCTACAAATAAGTCAGTTTATATATTTGTTTAATTATAGATCTATGATAACTGTTTTGTTCATAGTTGTAACTGTTTCGTTCAGACTTGTTCTTGATTGCTATTGTTTTATTATAAGTCGCACGATATAAATCAGATATTTCAGTTAGTGATTTTATTTTATTTGGGAACCACAAACAACAAAATATAGTAAAAATGATGTAGCTATGTAATAAGGGAAGAAGAAAGACAAACAAGATTTATGGAGGTTCGACCAAAATCACCATGACCTATGTCCTCTCTTGAACCTTTTCCTTGGAGCTCCCTTTTCACTATCTTGATCTTCTTCAACAGGAGAAAATCAAAAACTTACAATCACTATCCTCTTCAGTAAATGAAGGCTCACCTTAGAAGTTTAAATTCTCACAATACAATAATCTTCTCATCTCTTAACAAATAATTCACTCAACAAGATTACATAAAGAGAGAAGAATACAATGAGTTCTAGAGCAAAAATTTTACAATATTTAGCATTTTGCAATGTGTATAACAATTTTGCAAAGTTCAATTTTATGTCTTATCCAATTTTCATTGCATTTTATAGTTGAAGCCCTTTAAGTATGAAAATTGAATAAAACTAGTTGTTTGGAACCTTTAACATTAATGTTATTTTGCTCCCCTTGACAAGCTGTCTGAATTTATGCATTTACCCCCAATTTGTAAGCCCTTTTTGACCATGAAGCCATTCGAATTTGAACAATCATATATTTCTAACAAAATTGGAAATAATTTTGTCTAATTTCCAAATCATCAAGAATAAAGTCATTTGGATATTGTAAAATGTTGTGACTGAAATACATTGAGATCCTATCAATTTTTTTTCCTGATTGACAGAATCTATGTACTACCCTCAATGTGCAAATTATTTTTTTCCAACAAACAATTTGTAACGCCCTAGTTTCCCAGACTCGTTACTTAATTAAATCGGTCGATTGCAATAAACCACAAATATCTCTGACTACAGAACCAGAGCTCTAATTGCTTCAATAAATTTATAATCACAATTTTTATCTCCAAATAGCAATAATCTACTCAATATAAGAACAAATCTGTTCAAATTATATATCACCCCAATAAACCCACAAAGTTATAAATCTGAAACTTTCTCATATCTTCACTTTGGTCATTCCCTCAGGAATTATATATCACCACAAATGCCGATAAAAGTTAAAAAATTTATATCAAGACTCGTCCATCTTTGATTCCTTAAATATCAACTTTGGTCCTTCCCTCCGAGATAATCCTGAAAAATATTAAAAGCGGGGAAGTATATAATATGACAGGAAACAATATGCTCAACGAGAAAAAGTATGAATGATCAAATACCAAATAATTCAATTGATAGACAATCAAAGATAGAAGAATTAAGAATCCAATTCGATAAGTCACATAAGCCAACTTCTATTAAGCATAGCCTCATACTTGGTTCCTCTTGGTGACATGACAAGTGATACTTGGGCATACAAATTCATACTCATACTAACTAATCACACACCCACAGGGATGTAATCACAATCACACCCTGCATGACCGTAATCATATTTTACCAATTTTGTCTCAAGTATACTTCGTACATGTACCAATCAATCCCAAAATATTTAGCCCAATGTACAGATTAGCCGATAAAATTGTCAAAATTTCGTATCAATCAAAATAATTAATAGGAATACAAATTTTAAATAATTAAATGACACTCTTTGCAAAAAGATTTAAAAGACAGGAGCATATTATATATTATCATGTACCTTAAAATCATTAATAACTTCAATAGATAAGAAATTCAAGCTACCCCGAACAAGACACTTCAATTTGGTAATGATCGAAAGTAAAATATACTAATAAAATTNTCAAATAATTAAATGACACTCTTTGCAAAAAGATCTAAAAGACAAGAGCATATTGTATATTATCATGTACCTTAAAATTATTAATAACTTCAATAGATAAGAAATTCAAGCTACTCCGAACAAGACACTTCAATTTGGTAATGATCGAAAGTAAAATATACTAATAAAATTTTGACCCCAAAATCTCATAAGTTCTCTCTCTTTGTCCCTCTCTCTCTCTCTCTCTCTCTCTCTCTTCCTTTCTTTTTCTCCTTTTTTTCTCCTTGATTTCGCTACTGATCATGGATAGGTATTTGTAGTGAGATTGAATTGGGCTCCAAGGCTTTTATGTCACCTTGTTGGTGTCATTTGGTGATGCATACATTGCATCACAAAGACACTTGTCAATTTTTTTTCCTAAATCCTAACATGACATTTGTCCATGAGATTTGTATATTAACATTTAAAATATTTAATTTTTAAAGTGTTATCCAACTTGAAACGTTACCTATAATATAGTTATTTGACTCATTTTCACACTAGAAATTTATATTTCAAGTCTATTTATTTATTTGAATTTTTTTTTAAAAAAACAACCCTCAATTATATCAAATCATAATTAACGACCTAATTATGAAGTTAGCACTTAATTTTTTTATTTACGGGTTATCACACAATTCAAATTTGAAAACTATTTTTTTTCAGTCAAAGTTGTCGTGCTAGATATGTTCTTTTCAAATATTCAAGAATCATGTTAATTAGATATTCGATGAAAAAGTTATGCCCAAATTACTGATACTAGAATTTTACCTCATTTGCTTTGTATCTTATACCCTTTGCATTAATCATTCCATTCTTCACATCAAGCAACATGGTTACCTTTATAAGTTGAAGAAACATCCTAGATGTATGTTCTTTAACCTTTAATTTTCTTCACATATCAAGATTAAACCAACAAGATTTTTCCATATGCTTTCCAAAACAAGAACTCAAGAAGTTCAGTGTACCAAGCTTTCCATCAAACATGTACAACACNAAAAGTTGAACAAACATCCTAGATGTATGTTCTTTAACCTTTAATTTTCTTCACATATCAAGATTAAACCAACAAGATTTTTGCATATGCTTTCCAAAACAAGAACTCAAGAAGTTCAGTGTACCAAGCTTTCCATCAAACATGTACAACACTTTAACTAACACAAAAATGATTAATTATAAGAGAGTGTTTGTTATCATCAAAATCTTGTATAACTAAGCACAAGGTCAACACTTTAGAGTTTGCTCTAATTTCTATGTGGATAAAGAGTTGTGTGTTTGATACATAAAGAAAATATGTTTTTTTTTTGTGTTCCCATTATCACTACGTTNTCTATAACTAAGCACAAGGTCAACACTTTAGAGTTTGCTCTAATTTCTGTGTGGATAAAGAGTTGTTTGTTTGATACATAAAGAAAATATGTTTTTTTTTTGTGTTCCCATTATCACTACGTTATAAAGCTTGCTATTTTGTTTTTCCATTTGGTATTCAAGTATTGTTTTTGTTAGTACAAAATACAAACAAGATAAAACTTTATTGTATTTTGAAGATNTTATAAAGCTTGCTATTTTGTTTTTCCATTTGGTATTCAAGTATTGTTTTTGTTAGTACAAAATACAAACAAGATAAAACTTTATTGTATTTTGAAGATAAATTTGTGAATTTCTAATTTGTACAACACCAAAATTTCGAAAGAAGATTTTTGAACATTGTGCTCCGACGAAATATAAAATTTGCATTCGCATAGGATAAAAGAACTATTTTTCCGTGGAAAAAGGAGTCCAACCCCAGAAAAGAAAATTTAAGATCATGTTATAGCCTTTAATACATAACAACTTTTATACCAAGTTTTCAAAGGAAAAGTCCAATAAATGGGGGAAAAAAAAAACCTCCGATAGCTCCACTTTGAAGATAGCCTACAGTTAATAATTATGAGTATTGTAATGTTTACTAAAAAAACAATTTATCAAATCAACATTGATAGATGGCTTAGTAGAACCTATTAATTTTTTTTATAAGCCCCATAAATCCAACCTTCCATATAAATTTAGTGAACTTTTTGATAATATTTTTGATAAGTGCCTCATTGCTTATTTGTTATTACTAACACTCGTCATAATCAATATGAAATTAGTGGTATCTATTTTGTCTTAATATGTTTAGAGAGTAAATGGATCAATTCACCAAAAATACTTAGTAAATAAGAATAATATTTCTAAGGACCTAATTTGAACACTTAATTAGGGACATAATTCATTGTATTCATTGGATTTGTTGTGAGTTCCACTGTTAGATAAAATTTACTTTGAATTCAACTTATATAGATCCTCAAATTAAGTCCAAATAATAGCATCCAAATTCTATACCATTACATGAGTAAGGTATATTGAGTAAATCAAGTAAAGATACAAATGAATAAGATATATTAAGTTTTGATAGTCAAGAACCTAACATTACACAATCCATGGTTAACACTAGTTGTGAAATCAAGTATAGCTTAAACCCAATTTGTATGACCCAAGTGCATCTCCAACCCTTACCCTTTTTGTTAAATTTAAATTTAAATTTAGATAAAATGCTCTTAAAAATTTTCTCCAATGCTACATCTAAACTCGTACCAAATCAAAGGAGACTAAATTCTTTACCCAAATTAAGGGAGAGTCAAACTTATACCCAAATCACCAATAGTTAGATTTTATTCTCCTTTAAAAATCTAATGGTAATATTCTGTCTTCTTTTAAATTAGAATTTTTTTTTATTAAAGATCGAGTTTTTTATCTTTTTTTTTTTTTCAATTTGAGAAAGGGTTTAATATGTTTGCTTGACCATTTGGAATTTGCGTTTGAAGCCTTGGGGATTGTCCATTTTATGAAGAAGAAAAATAAAATGAATGTCATTTGTAAATAGTCAATCCTTTGCATCATGTGTGGATGAGAATGGAAGCTGGTCTCCAATATACATTCTTGATTTAGCTTAGTTGAAAAATAAAGTTTTTCAGGTTTTTTACATCTCAAAATCTACTAATATGTGTTCGAGAGTCTCTTATTCCCTTCTATTGTTGGGGTGTTTGAATGGGCAGTGTGTTCTATCATGCGGGTTTATGGTCAAGTACACGGTTGAGACTGTCCAGTTTTAAAACTGTGTGTGTGTCTGAATCGAATGGTGTATTTGGAGGGCAAGTTTTAGAGCAAGTGGATAAGGAGCTAAGAAAGGGGGATGAGAGGGCAGCACTCTCCCTTGTCAAGGATTGGCAGGGCAGGCTTGGGGGTCTCCGATGTTTCGGTGCTGCTCGGCAGGTTCATGGCTTCACTTCTTTCTTCTTCTGTTCTTTCCCGTGTTCAGTCCTTTTTCCTTTTTTGTTATTTGAATGTAGGAACTGGGAATTATTGGTTTGCTTATGAAATGATAGGTTGTTTCGTGAAATGTTACTTCTTGTTTATAGTTGCAGCTCTTGAGAGAGTAAAAGTTTATTTTTTTATTTTTTGGCTCTATATTGTGAAAATAAAGTGAATCTCCTACTTCTAGCGTATACAGATTTCACTGAGCTTCCCCATCATTGGTATAATTTCTGTTTGGTTCCAGAGTACCGTTTAAGCAGCATCCCACCAAAGCAGTAGGTTGTGTCTCGAAAGTGTCGCAATTTAATCGACAATTTCTTAATTTTCAACATTTTGCCTTTGAAGGTTGGTTCTTGATTGATTGATACTAAATTGAAACACAAATGATTGGCAGGTTTGTGGTTTTGCTACTTTTGGCTAAATGTGGTCCAACTGTTGTTCTTCTTTGCATTCAAAAGCTGCAGATTCATGGCATTCAAAAATAGTATCGGTTGAGTTGCCATTCATACATTTGTGTTGGTAACTTTGATGACCTCATAAGAGTTGTTATCTACACCCATAACCCAAGCAGGTAGATTTCTTGAAGGAAGCAAAGTTTTGGTTAGTATTGAATGGTAATTTGTTTCTGATTGGGAATAAACAAGAATGGTATCTGCTCCTGTTTGAATTGCCAAAAAAATAACATTGACATGCTTACACTTTCAACTCTGGCATTTGAACTTGCATTCACTTCCATACTGCAGATTTAAGCTGCATTTTCGTGTGTTCTGAACTAGGAAGCTTTCTGTATTTGATATTTTTATGAGCACTTTAAGTAGTTGTAATGGTCCTCCATTTTTCCCTTTGTGGATTGGTCTTAAAAGATACAAGATTCAACAGCTAATCGTGTAAATTTCAGGACAATCAACAATATTTAAGAATTGCTTATTCTGTGAGTAGATTCATTGCAGGTACCCCAGAGGCTATACACCTTGGATGAACTAAAACTGAATGGAATAGAAACGTCATCTCTTCTGTCACCAGTGGATGCCACATTGGGTTCTATAGAAAGAAATCTCCAGCTTGCTGCTATTATAGGAGGAATTTCTGCATGGAATGTGTTCGGATTTANGTGGATGCCACATTGGGTTCTATAGAAAGAAATCTCCAGCTTGCTGCTATTATAGGAGGAATTTCTGCATGGAATGTGTTCGGATTTAGCCCTCAACAAGTCCTTTATTTTTCTTTGGGGTGGTTGTTCCTGTTGACACTGGACTCGGTAACTTGTTTCTCAAACTATACTGTTTGACGTGTTGTATTCTTAAAACNTAGCCCTCAACAAGTCCTTTATTTTTCTTTGGGGTGGTTGTTCCTGTTGACACTGGATTCGGTAACTTGTTTCTCAAACTATACTGTTTGACGTGTTGTATTCTTAAAATATATTGCGATATGTGGACAACTGGTGAGATATCTTTGTTTTCGTGACATTTTTTTGAAATGGTGGAGTTATATTGTTTACGTTGTATATCTCTTTCCATAGTTGTAATTATTGGGTTGTTCTTCTTCTCTCTCTCTAGTTAAGTTCTTTTCTCTACCTTCTGTATGACTGCTGTACCACCCCCTCTAGTATTTTGTAAGAGTAATTCCATAGAAATAAGGATTACTACCGAAATGCAGCTGTTTCACTTACTTCCTAAAGAAGAAGTAAGATATTTAACTCCTCTACTCTTAAGGGCAACTACAGTTATTTTTATTCCAGGTTTTGGTACATTCGTGACGAAGGATTAAAGTTTTCTTTTGAAACAGGTGAAACGTTTTTGTTTTTAAGGAGATTAAAATGAATCAGATGAAATCGAAATTTTATATTTTGAGATATTTCATAATGTTTCCAAGTATTCCGTAATGTTTGAATGCATTTACACGNTGAGATATTTCATAATGTTTCCAAGTATTCCGTAATGTTTGAATGCATTTACACGATTTTTAAGGTGTTTTGGTATTGTTAGGCAAATGTTTTAAAAAAATAATTTTTAAATTCTTTATTTGTTTTTATCTTGTTCTCGAAACAAGTCGAAACATTTTCGAAAAAACGGGACGAAACGTTTCTGTTTTATAGGTGATTGAAACAACGTATTCAAACGAAATTTTGATCCTTGTGATTATCAGTTAGTGTACAATAGTGCTGCACGTGGGTCATTTTAGGTATAAAATATTATATGAAGGCTGCCAATGGCGGATCCACGTTAGGGGCAGTGGGGGCAGTTGGTCCCACTAGAATTTTAAATATTTTTGAGGAGCGAGTATAATTTCAAATTTTTAGAATTTATTAGATATTTGTCTCTGTCGAAAAGATTCTAGAATAGTTATGTATTTTGACAACCATTTGGGTTTGATTCATAAATTACAAAAAAGTGCTTTAAAAAGGCAAAGTCTCCCTTCTCATGCTGTAACCTTATGTCGTTGGTGCTTGAGAGAAATTAAAAACCGAAACTCCAAGTTTTGGACAACAAGCCGACTCCACTCGTACCACTCCATCCCTTCGTTCTCCATTCCATCCCCTTCATTTGAACCCTTCACCATGGCAAAGGTTAATATTTGTTTCTTATGGTCAATTGAGAGGATGGTTTTGAATAAAATGGGAGCTAATCGTACATAGCCTTTCGAGAGGTAACCCATCAATTACGATTTCTTGGGTTTTGATTGTTATGTAATTTTTTAATTGTTGGATAGTAATTAGGGTTTATTTTTTCCATACCCATTGAACTTTTTTTTCCTTATAGTAGAAATTAGGCATTTTATAATCCTTTTTTGATTATTTTGTAGATTTTTAATTTGTGTATGAATGTATTTGGGGTATCGTCCGTAGTGGCGCGACTGACATCGGCATTGTTGAAAGACGTATCGATCATTAGGGTCATCTGGGGATTTAAGAATTAGGCTAATTCATTGTGAAATAGGTTAGTCCTCTATTTTATGTTTATATGCTGAAAATATGAAATTGGGGCTTTGTAGTCCTCTCTTGTGTTTTATTAGGTATTGAATTGAAACTAGGGCTTGTATTCCTTTATTTATTTTTCTACGTTGAAGTGAAATTGGGACTTGTAGTGCTCTTCTATGGTTAATTTTTCTGTATATGTAATTGCTATTGGGACTTGCATTCCTCACTTGTATTTTATTTTATATATTGAATTGGAATTGTNAGGGCTTGTATTCCTTTATTTATTTTTCTACGTTGAAGTGAAATTGGGACTTGTAGTCCACTTCTATGGTTTATTTTTCTATATATGTAATTGCTATTGGGACTTGCATTCCTCTCTTGTATTTTATTTTATATATTGAATTGGAATTGTGACTTGTGCTCCTCTCATTGTTTTATTTGTATACGTTGAATTGGAATTGGGAGTTGTAGTCCGGCATTTGGATCTTCCCATTTATAGACTCAATATATGATTGACCCCAATTTTTTNTTGGAATTGGGAGTTGTAGTCCGGCATTTGGATCTTCCCATTTATAGACTCAATATATGATTGACCCTAATTTTTTGGTTCAAAATTTTTGTAGGTCTTATATATAGGTTTATAGTGAGCTTTTTTTTTTTGTTAACTCCTTTTGTATATCGCTCATTTATATGGGTTGCACCTTTAATTGACATTCTATTAATGCAAGTATACTTGTGTGAACATTTGAAATTTTAATATTAATGTGGTCTAGGGTTGCCCCCACTGGGGAAGATGTTTGGCTCCGCCCTTGAAAATTCACATCTTAAAGTAAACATTGACAATTGAACATTGTGTGACTAATTATGTTTGAATCCTATATTAGCAATAAACAACTAAAGAATATGTGTGCTAAAATTTCATTATCTTTTTCATATATGTAAGGAAAGACAATACTTTACGTGAAAAATCTTTCTATTCGATTATACACGAGGAATCACATGGTAGACCTAGACAGAGCGTGTATAGGTTAATTCAATTTTATGCTTGAACAAACTCCAATTCTTACGATCAATTAAGTGTGAGAACCATTTTTAACAAGAACAACCCAAATCGGTTATGTTAATTGATGTATAGATTTATTAATTTATTAATTAACACTCAAATTCACTAAGACTCAAATATCATTCAAAGTCACAATCACCAAAACCACTATTCAATGACTTGAAAGATAAAAAATCAATTTATCAAACACATGGTGAGCGCGTGTGTGCATCAATTGCTAGTGTATAAGCAAATAAAGCAATAACGAGACACAAACAATTGTTAACGTGGAAACCCTTCTCGAGAAAAACTGCAAGGAACCACNCACATGGTGAGCGCGTGTGTGCATCAATTGCTAGTGTATAAGCAAATAAAGCAATAATGAGACACAAATAATTGTTAACGTGGAAACCCTTCTCGAGAAAAACTGCAAGGAACCAGTCTAGAGTTCACCAAAGCCTAATCCACTATCCCAAGATCAATCTACAATTACTCGAGACTTATATCTCAACCACTTCCATGGTTAGACGCTCGTATCTCTCATCTTCACCGAAAGTCCCTCTTTGATGTTGTATAGCTTTACTTGGACGCCTCCCCCGCAATGGATTGTTTAGGCTTAGAGCAATCTTCAATCCTTCGCACCCAAGACTCTTGGAATGCACACTATTCCAAGTGGGTTTTGGTTGACATCTAACAAGACCTTAGTCTTTAATGTATGAGGTCGAATGAAATAATCAAGATGGTTGGCCTTTTTGGACTTAGTGATATAGGGTTGTTCTTGAAACATTCTAGAAAGGTTTGAGACTTTTTTAACTTATAGAGGTTTACCCTAGGTGTAAACTATAGCCTCTATTTATAGGTCCCAAAAATAGAATTTAATTGGAGTCCAAGAAAACTCAGATTCGCGACAACCGTTCAAGCCGTGATTGGGCAGTAGTTTCTAGAGTGAAAAATAAGTCATTCTAGACCTCCTGGTGGTAGACTGCTCGAGCAAGAGCCGTCTCCAGTTTTGTTTTTCTAAGTGTTCAGAGACCGCTTTAATCGACGAGCAATCGGAGGGCTGTCCCTACTTGTTTTAACGGGTGTTACTCAAATAGGGTCTGACACACGACTCATTTTGTGTGTTTTCAAAATGCATTTAAGGTTTAGAAAATCTTTTATTTGAAAAACATAAGAGTCATTCACAGATTTTCACAATTCCATTTATAACACTAATCATCATAAGTCTACTGAATTAAGTCAATGGTTCTTAGGTCTCTAAAGTCATTACCATTGTCCTAAACTTCAAGTTTCATTCAGAGAACACTTGATACGGCTTTGTATCTTTGACTCCTCCATTCCATGNAATTAAGTCAATGGTTCTTAGGTCTCTAAAGTCATTACCATTGTCCTAAACTTCAAGGTTCATTCAGAGAACACTTGATACGGCTTTGTATCTTTGACTCCTCCATTCCATGGCACTTATGGGTCTTGATTTTTGAAGGTTGATGACCATGGAATTAAGTTGAGATTACATACGACTTCACAAAATTAGCCATTTACAAACATGATCCTAACAATATATTTGGCTTGAGGCTAACTTTGAATATCTATTATATATAGATTTTCTTTTGTCGGCCAAGAATTTGTGCATGATAATGCAATATAATTATCATGTCCATTACATTCTTGCATCATCTACTGGAAACCTTCTTAAGTACCATTGCACCTCCTAGCATGTCATTACATCTAATCTAAGCCCTCATGTCATACACAGAATGTTAAAATGCAATACTAATCTATAGTTCTATACATAATCATAAACAAAGAATGTCTCCATTGAACATCAAAGCTGTTATTCTGTGAATTGCAAAGACCTAGCAAATTTAGTATAAAAAGAAAGTAATAGCGTTTAGCAAAAACATGTTTCATCCACACTAAACATGTAAAAGGACTACAACGTCTTTTAGTTTAATACAAGCAGTAAACCAAAAATAAATTTAAAATAAATATGCAATTATACCACAAATCTAAGAAAGGGAAAAAAAACACATTTAAAACTTTCCAGAGAATTAGCTTGCAAACGGATAATCTTCAACCAAACATGTGTGTTGTTCTTCTTCATCTGAACCCCTTTTTAGTATGACCAAGACACTAGCTACCAGGCTGTTTTCTCAAGAACTTTCCAAAGCAGCAGT